GCTTCATGTCTCGCACCTCTCGCCTGTGGAACTCCCTTCCCTTCTCCTGTTTCCCTGAGAGTTATAATCTCCAGCTATTCAAGTGTAATGTCAATCGACATCTCCAGTTGCCTTAATCTATCTACTACCCTCATCCTTTCTTCTATCACTCCTATCTGATCTTCCTATTTTCTGTAACCCCGTCCTAGTGGCTCCCCCGCCTTGCTTGGGGTGAAATGCTTAAAAAAAAAAAAAAAAAAAAAAAAAAAAAAGGACAAAAAGAAAACTAAGCAAATCGATGTATAAAATATAGAATCGTCTATTATACATGATGTTGTGGAGCTTGATAGGAGTTGGTCAGATCACTACATTTGTTAGCATTTTTTGTGTTTGACAATCTTATCGGACATTACTTAAAATTAAGTCAGTTTCGATCTTCGGATGAGGTAGCGAAAAAGAAAAAAGTTGGTTTTGTCTCAGAGAGAGAGAGAATCTCACCTTTGCACTAAGAAGCTGTAAAGTCAGAGGTACACCTTGACGTTTGCAGCACTAAGAATCGGGCTACTTTACATAGTCTACCATAAAATGAGACCTTGAGTCCTGTTACTTCAAGTATGTATCATTTTCATCATGAAACCAATTATGCGAACAACTCTTAATTCTAATAAATTTAAATCTGTATATTTAACAACATTTTTCTTCTCTTCAGACAACTTTATTTCCATTTTACCGGAATGGCGAACACTACTGGGGGTGAATTAGGAACACTCTCCCCATATTGTACGCTATGTACACATTAGGAAGGCAGTAGAATTGATTAAGCGAAATGTTTTAGCAAGAGTAAGAATGAGAAATCTAAAGCTCTTTAAATTATATCAATATTATTCCTCTTTGTTTACCAGTGACAATATGAATAGATTTCATTATTTGTTCTGGAAAGCAAGAAAAAAAGCGTTTAATGCCAGTTCTTAAAAAAAAAAAAAAAAAAATGGATGTTCTTTAAAACGTAATTTTAAGTGAAAACTTCACGGCAGTTATTCTTCGAGCCAGCTTTTATTTTTCATGCTTTACATTAATATTTTTCTAACTCGTGATAAAGCCTTCACTTTTCCCGACCATAACTTAAGGACGGTACGAGGAAATTAATCTGAATCGGATTTAGAGGATTAAGTTGCCTGGGATTTGGATTATGAATTTATAGAACTTTTTTTTTTATCGAAAGAGACAGAAAAATGTCCCTTTTGTTGACGCACATTTGTAGGCGTTAAGCGCCGATTCCTCCCTCTACTGTTCTTAGACGTTTATTTTATGAGCGTCTCAAGGAAACATGAAAGGATTTATGTGACTAATTATGAAAAGTTTTCATGAGTATGATTTTTCTCTTTTCATTGTGTGTGTGTGTGTGTGTGTGTGTATATATATATATATATATATATATATGAGAGAGATTTCTTACCTTAACGCTTGTCCGAGAGTAGGAGATTGCTATCATATGCGCACAAAGGTGTGAGAAATACGCAGGTGTCTGAGTGGGCATACATATGTACAAGTGCTTACTTAAAATTTACACGTTCATCTTTCATCAAATTTCTTAAAAAAAAAAAAAAAAAATTGAGCCAATTTTGATTAATTGCTTAGTTTATTCTAGTCTTTAGGGTGCGCCTGGTAACTGTTCGACATTAATTTTCTTTCACTATCCGTCTATATTTCTGTGATAATAGTAAATAATTACTTCGTTCGGAGTGTTCGCAATGGAGAGAGAAAATCAACTAGCATTCCTGAATATATTAATATCTCGATAAAGGTATATAAAAGGATCGTCTGCTGCCTACAACTTTGAGAAAGAAATCCTAAAGTAGCAAGCCAGAGGGATATGAACAAGAAATGGTCAGTATAAGCAGTACCCTACAACATAACTACCCTGGGTACATGATAGAAAATATATAGGTTATCTCTCTTAGATGTAAGAATTGGAGACGAAACCAAGATTTGGTGCGAAATGGGATTTGAGCAGACGTATTTTTCGCCTACTCCAAGAAATGACGCCGAATCCAACACGTGTTTTAGATGATTCCATACCAGAGACCCCAAGTAGAATATGGAGCGATGAGATGAGTCTCCAGATCTCTACAGCAGGAATGCAGACCTGAATAATGCGAGGACATGCAGAAAATAATGCAGAATATGAAGCATCAGATTCAGATATATTATTGGATTTCGTCCCCTAAGTTTTATACGGGTCCAATGGGCTATTTTTTGGCCTAATGGCTCGGAAATGCCCACGTTAAAAAGGCCTTGTGCCACATGACACCCTCGTGGGGGGTGACTGAATATCGTCCCCTAAATTTTGATAATCTTACTTATTATAAAATGCAGATTGTGTGTGTGTGTGTGTGTGTGTGTGTGTGTGTGTGTGTGTCTTTACTCCAATTGGCTCATTCGCTTGCTTAAACTCAACGTTGATTCTGATTCCGCAGAACTGGGTTAGGTGTGAAAAAGTATTTGTTGTTAACATTCTTTTTATCATTCGGTTTTTCCAGTTACGAGTCCCTTTTTAAAGCTGATCGTTTTGTGTTCATTTTGTTTAGTTCTTTTTTCGTAACAGATTGAATGTTTAGTATAGAGCTTAGAAAAAATTCGCAGTGTGATATAGGCAAGAAGTAAGGCATGTAGCAACATCAGCATGGCAAAGGGCACTCCTTTAAAGGCAAGGAAGGGCAAAAATATTTTAAGTCAAGTGATAGCGATTGCTGTACGAGTCGTACGATTTTTGAATCAAGCACGGGCAACGCCGGGCCATGCTGCTAGTAACCGCTAAAGGAATATGTTTTTAACAATTTTTATCTGTTCTTTCATGTTATGTAATGTGTTACGTGAATAAACAATATTTTACAATTTTCAATTGTCTCTGTTCATCGAGCCACGACCCAGTATGGAAGGTCGTTAATATTCCTACAAAGATGATAACAACCCCCGGGAAATAGCCTTAGTCTGTCTACCCTATGTGAATGGATCATCGGAAAAGATACAAATGATCTATTGTCCATATAACATCAGGACAGCCTTCTTGAGTGGTTCAACACTACGCAGACATCTCTTCTGAGCAAGACTATCCATAGAATACAACTGTGTGTACACAATACCGTGCAGCCGTGACAATAAATATAACGTAGAAACAGGCTGCCTCCTTAAGATAATATTCCAGGAACACCGTAGAAGGGAAGATAGAAAAATCAGGCATTGCGAAAGGGAGGGGAAAAGGGAGATCAAGTTGAAACAATAGACAGAGAAAAAAAATACGAAAACATAAGGAATCAGTGCATATGCTAAGGCGACCAAGCATAGAAATGAATACAATATTGGAACCTGTAATACAGAGAGCTGAAGAAAGAAAAAAAATTTAATATGAGCTCTGGTAAAAAAAAAAAAAATGGTTACTGAGATATTGGGGTTATAATTCTCAACCTTTCACTGATGTCCCCGTGGATAAAAGCGTTGACCAAGTAATACAAAAAAATGACTTTACTCAAAGATTTGAGAGTTCAATACGTGGCAGACGCAACAAAAACTTGGAGTTGAGTTACTAAATCTAATTAACTGAAACTGAGAGATCCACTCCCCGTGAACTAAAAGTGTTCGGTTAGAAATTCCAACGTATATATGGCAATAAAGATGAGGACAATAGCCCGAACAATGTAAATAATCACTTTTTCGACAATTGCTTAATATTATGAAATTTTCTTTTATCATAATACAATATTAAAAAAAAATTAAATAGAATGAATAAAAATGACGAATAAAAATATAAAATATTATAATAAAATAACTTTTCTACCATTGCTCGTGTGTGCGAGATATACGCTGTTTATGTAACGTTGATCGGCATGGAAAATGGAATTTGCTAACAAATTCAAAGTTCAAATTACAGACTCACCTTCCCTTTTTACACTAATGCACTTCTGGAAGTGCTTCAATTCATCTCCTTCCTCCAATTATGGGTCAACAGTAGAGAAGACTGTTCTCGACCCGTGGGTGGCAGCAAGTCTACGAGAGAAGACTGAATTCAAAACAAGAGAAAGCAACAAGAGACCAGCCCATCCCCGCTTTCATTTTTCTTTAAAAAAAAAAAAAAAAAAAAAAAGTATGGCAAATCATAAGTTATAAAGCGTGCCTGGAGAGTGATCAGAATAAAAAATATAAACTTTCAACTGCGAAAGGCGCTTTCGCTAAGTTTTCAAGTAATAATCTTCGTCAAATACAGATATTTTTCTCATTATTGTGAACGTTATTTTTCAGTAGGTACACATATTCTAGCTTGTTTTATTTTTTTTCCTTAAACAATGAAGATTGCTGATGGAAAAGAGGATACAGGTTCAATTTCTGTCGCAGGAGCAAACGGTTTCTATATGAAATGTCTTTACCAATTTGGCTACGGAGACCGCACTGATACACCAAGGTTTGAAATACCTAATTAAGGAATGCTCAATTTTCTTTGTTCATGCTTGCTTAAGTTTCTTACCCGAAACGAACACAGTAATTTTTAAACATTATTTCTATAGATAGATAGATAGATACATAGATAGATAGATAGATAGATAGATAGATAGATAGATAGATAGATAGATAGATAGATACATACATACATACATACATACATACATACATACATACATACATACATACATACATACATACATACATACATACATACATACATACGTGTGTGTTATAATACAATATAAATATAATATTTATTAGAGAGAGATAGAGAGGGTGCGCGCGCGAATGATGACAACCGTGTGATGTCGTAAGTGCAGTTTTCAATCACATATATTCATAGGCACAGACAGATTTAGGTTTTATTGTGTTTTATGTGCACATTCAAAAGTTAGTAGTCATTCATATTTTGGGGCGTTATACTAATACCTAAATATCTGGTGTTTGTTACATTTTGTAGTTCATCAGCAAAACGTTTACCCAGCTTGGTTATTGAAATTTTCGCTATGACTTTTAGAATCAAGTCACCTTGGTGTCTGATAAAGGGGGAGAAAAAGACAGCGAGGGGGGGGGAAGACAGGAAGAGGGGGGAAGACAGCAAGAGGGGGGGGAGAAAAGACAGCGAAGTGGGGGAGGGAGAAAAGACAGCGAAGTGGGGGGAGGGAGAAAAACAGTGAAGTGGGGGAGGGAAAAGACAGGGGGGGGGGAGGAGAAAAAGACAGCGAAGTGGGGGAGGAGAAAAAAGACAGCGAAGTGGGGAGGGAAAAAGAAAAGACAGCGAAGTGGGGAGGGAGAAAAAGACAGGGGAAGGGGAGGGAGAAAAAAGACAGCGAAGTGGGGAGGGAGAAAAAAGACAGCGAAGTGGGGAGGGAGAAAAAGACAGCGAAGTGGGGGAGGGAGAAAAAAGACAGCAAAGTGGGGAGGAGAAAAGACAGCGAAGTGGGGGAGGGAGAAAAAGACAGCGAAGTGGGGGAGGGAGAAAAAGACAGCGAAGTGGGGGAGGGAGAAAAAGACAGCGAAGTGGGGGGGAAAAAAAGACAGCGAAGTGGGGGGAGAGAAAAGACAGAGAAAAAAAAAAAGACAGCGAAGTGGGGGAGGGAGAAAAAAAGACAGCGAAGTGGGGAGGGAAAAAAAAGACAGGGGGGGGAGGAAAAAGACAGCGAAGTGGGGGAGGAGGAGAAAAAAGGGACAAAAGACAGAAAGTGGGGAGGGAAAAAGACAGCGAAGTGGGGGAGGGAGAAAAGACAGCGAAGTGGGGAGGAGAAAAAGACAGCAAGTGGGGGAGGGAGAAAAGACAGCGAAGTGGGGGAGGGAGAAAAAGACAGCCAAGAAGTGGGGAGGGAGAAAAGACAGCGAAGTGGGGGAGGGAGAAAAAAACAGCGAAGTGGGGAGGAGAAAAAGACAGCGAAGTGGGGGAGGGAGAAAAAAGACAGCGAAGTGGGGAGGAGAAAAAGACAGCGAAGTGGGGGAGGGAGAAAAGACAGCGAAGTGGGGGGGAGAAAAAAGACAGCGAAGTGGGGAGGAGAAAAAAGACAGCAGAAGTGGGGAGGGAAAAAAAAGACAGCGAAGTGGGGGAGGGAGAAAAAGACAGCGAAGTGGGGGAGGGAGAAAAAGACAGCGAGGGGAAGAAAGAGACTAAGCAATGTCATGCGGTAAAATAAATTCTATGTCATAAAAATGATATTTCTCTGTATTTTGTAAAAATTAACATCAGTCATCATAGAAATAATACGACTATAACGCCAGGTAGTAAAAGTTTCACCAAGTTTCAGTAATTAAAATAGAGTTAAATTCTTATATTCCAAATATAAAAGCAATAACTTATTTACATTGGAACTAATGTCACCATCTTCGTTATAACAAAAGCTGAACTGCCCATAATAATGCATGTCGATGGATGTGACCTTCAAAGTATTTTTGAACTAAGACCTAGGTTTTTCTTATTCTGTTGTCCGTGTCTAGGGATATCTAGACATTTACTTATTTAGTACCACTCAGTTATTGCTCGGAGTCGAAGTGTGTACGACCCAAAGATTGAACTCACAATTACTATATCACTAAATTCGTAAACAAAGTCTTGAATCCAGCAAGCTATTGTCCCGAAGCCTATAACTTTGAACTTACTGTTATTTCCTGCTGCTGTCGTCATGCTTGACTGTATTCACTGCCGATTCTTTTTTCTGCTGCTGAAGCCTTGCTGTCAGTTCGGAATTTCCTAAGGACTACCTGAATCGTCTGACACCCGAAGAAGGTACGAGAGCACAGAAATTCAGACAGAAGTTACAAATCCTATCCCCAAAAAGCCGAGTTTCGGTGTAGATGTTGCAGACTGTTCTTGGTCCATCCACGAATTGTAAATATTTTAGAGTGTTGCAATTAATCCCCTGTTCATCTCCAATGACAATGTTTAGGAAGGTTTTCCTCCTATCTGGCAAGAAATTAAATAAAACAACAAAATCAACACACAACGAAAACTTTCAAGTTATCGCCAGCATTCCTTTGGGTATAGCTGCTGGAATTCGCGTTTCTTATCTTGTTCTCGGATGAGAAAGGCTATAAATTAAAGTGCGCATGACCACTGGAGATTCCAAATGAGACAGCACCTTTATATCGCCATATTCCATTAAAGAAACGTCAGTTTATTAATTCTAACAACATTGATTTCGAAAACGAGGCGACGTTGCCACGATCCACGTGTTTGGCGCTTAAATTGAACTAAACTTATTTAAAAAAAAATATAGGAACAATTATTATAATTATAAAAGTTAACAAAATAGCATGTATATGAAAAATGAACTGAATTTGAGTTCAGGATAAACAGCCCACACTGATCAGAACCATAAAAAGTTTCGTTCAAATTCACAAGACTATCAATTTAGGTCAATTAGATAATTGTCCACAAGTTCCATATTTCGTTTTCTTCAAGAAAATGAACTTTACTTCCGTTTGTAAGTTGAGTTCTGAAAAAAAAAAAAAAAAAAACACAATTTTGAAAAAATAAAAAATCACTTATTGTACGACTGAATATCTTGTAATAAATAAATGGACAAACAATTTAGATTTAAAATTTTATCCTCTTCTTGCTGTCACCGAAGAGACGGATACCGAACTAGTATGCTTCGTGAACAAATGAAATTACAAAGAAATTAATAATATAGTGACCAAAAACTAGTTAATCGGAATAAAAAAAAATAAAAAAAATAAAAATGCTCATGTCAGTTAACACGCACTCTGAAACTGATAGCCGAGCTTTAGACTTTAGTTTTCTTGGTCATGGAGACAGAATACAATGCTTGACATTCATCGTGTTGGACAAATACCTGGGATAATTATAACCAGGGTTATTTTTTTCTTTTTTTTTGTAGGACTAGTTCGCAAGTTGCTCTTCGCCATCGGTGTCAGATTTTCACTGCTAAATGCAGACTAAGTTATGGTTCATTCATATGTTTTTCAAATCAATCTTCTTTTATATGCAAAATCCTGAAGAACGTGGACGATTGTTGCTCTCCATTTGTTTCTCGAAGTAACATTTGCTCCCCCATTACCATCTCTTCTTGTCCTTGTTTTGCTATCCATTTACACGATCATTAAATAGGCTACCCGTATCCCCCTCCAAGGTTTTTTGTTGCTTTCAATATATTCTGCGAGGTTAACTTTCACAAGATCTCTTACCTCATTATGTTCCTTAAATATTTCAGTTGTCTCTTTGTATTTTGCCTTGGAACTTGGTTCATAGTATTTATAGAATTCCACGGTAGAGCTTCGTTTCTCTTGTTTAAAGTTGTTTTTATTTCATCTACGGAAATAATGTCCAGCATTAACTGCCACAAAGATTTAATCATTATGCAAGTGTTCAGTGCTCTTTTCTGTGTCTCTCACAAAAATTATTATTTGAATACTTTTCAGTGAATATTACAGGATTTTTTAATCAATTCACTCCAAGCAAGGCGATAATGCCACTAAAACGTAAGGGGTTACTGTGAGTTAAAGAAAAAAGGCTTTAGAAGGAACTGGAAACGAGGGATAAACCTCTACTCCTGTTCAAAAGGACCGAGGTGTGAAGAGAGCGAAAGGACACGGATGCTCAATTTTCGTTACGTTTTAGACAAGGATAGCTAATTAATAATGAAAAGAATCTTTGATATGACGCATATAGTAAAGCCTTTTGAACGAAACACGGCTTGTGTTAGAATTCGTGTGTGTGTGTGTGTGTGTGTGTGTGTGTGTGCGTGTGTAAGTAAGAGGATCGCTTAATGTTTAGTAAGTTTTTAAAATTTATAAGTCACACTTTCCCTGCATAAAGAAAAATTCTCCCGCGTCTTGTATGTCGAATGCCATAAATGCCAGTCATGACTAAACAGTTTTTGTTTAACGTCGTATATTACATACGCTCATGCAATGTGTGTGACAGACAGAAAATCTATTTTTTTTTTATTATTTTTTTTTTAGGGTGAATACTGGGTTTAACATTGTGCAACTCATATCGGTTTTGTTATTTACTAAGCTGAGCTTGATGTCTGAATTTCTGGAATTAGGAGTTATTTACATGTAGACTATCCTCATCTTTGTTTTTATCACTTCGTCAGCTTAGTTTAGTCAAAGTTCGTGTATCTAAGCACCATACTTTAATTTCAAATGATCTCCCCCCAACCCAAGTAATACAGTAAATCATTTTTTCGTTAATTATTTTCTTTATTTAAATTACAGACTACGTTCTTAGTCACATTCAATTCATACAGTTAAATCTTCGGCGTCTAGCATGGCGTGATTGTTAGGACTTCGTCTCGCAGGCCAATTAACAAATGCATTGAATTTTCTTCACGGTTTCTTCTCCTTACCCCCTCTTCACTTTCACACTCCCCACTTTTCTGTTTCTTCCCTTCAACTTTTTCTTGCAAAAATATTTGAATAATACGTAATGTAAACGTGACATTAATAGCAACGATTTTAAAGAGCTTTTACATTCTTTGGCCAACATATGATGTAGAAATATTGCATCTTATCGCACTTTTGTTTCACTCAACTAAGTGATACAGTCTAACGAAGTTTCACTCAGTTTTCAATTCTTTTCTTTATTCTTAGAAGAAAAAAAAACTACAGCCGCCTTTTACTTAAAAACAAAACATTTATTTCTACTGATTTTTTGGCGATATATTTAGACTAGAATTTCTTTCTCGTTGATTGGCTGCATGCGATATTTGTCATCAATCCCGCGTATCGATTTTTTGAACAGCTTCTTACGTTATTTAACGACAGTTTAAAAATGCTTCACATACGAAAACTTGTAAAATTCTCTTAACCGTTTAATCTTGACTTCCTTTTTTTCTGCCATCCAATTCTGGTTTCCGGGGTTGGATCGGAGTCCAGCTGGAATCTTTTCCAGTTGTGCTGGTCAAAACTACCTTCGGGCAGAGAGGATCCCCAGACGTGGCTATGTCGAAGGGTAGAGTCTAGTCTCGTCTCGGGAAACAGCTATCCGACCCCGTTTTATACGCAATTTTTGGCCGAGCCTACGGGCTCAGATCCCCACACTTTAAAACTAGGCCTTGTACCACATCTTACCTTGTGGGGAGGTTGGTAAATATCCTTTTTTCCTGCCATGCGTGATACACGCTTAGACAATCATGTATCTTTCGATACATGACTGACGAGGCAGAATTTTTTTCTGGCAGTGGGTTACCATTTCTTTCGGTGGTAGACCAGTTGCCATCCAAGTCCGGTCTTTCCTGCTATTTACCCATAGCTCTAAGATTCATATCTTTCCCAAGGGCATTAGCACGTAAGCGAATGTAATGTATTCGACTGGAATTCGAACTGTTCTCCGAATAAACTAACATAATATCGCTCTCAAAACGGATTCCAACATAAGACATTTTCTTTAGTAAAATTAATGAATGATTTCTACCGGAGATAGGACACTGATATAGATTATGAAAAAAAGAGCGGCAAAATGATTAGTCAATCAGATAAAATCCGGATGCTGCAACGGAACTTTAAAAAAATGTGAATGAAAAACGCCTTCATTGATATTTCAAGAAACAGACAAAAGAAATTACTGTCTAGATACGGTTGCACAGAAAATACTCAAGTTTAACCAGAACCCCTATTAAAAGCAATCCAAAATAATTATGTTAGAAAAATATATATTAGATCTACGATCAGCAAAACGTAAGAAAATAAATGTAATCGGCGCATAAGTTAGGTTTTCATTGTTTACTGAATGTAGCAGAGCAGAGAAATGACGACTGAATAGTAAATGTTATTCACTAGGAACTGCGCAAGCGACTGATTTGACGATGCAGACAGGGCTATTAATTCAATTCGAAAGTGAAAACTGAAAACGGGGTGGAGGAGGAGGGGTAATTATGCTGGTTGAAATTCTGCCACATCACTTAATTTATGTAGACAAAAAAAAAAAAAAAAAAAAAAAAACTGTATTCCATTAAAAACAAAAAGAAAACATCAGATTAAGAATGCTGCCGTTCCAACAGACCGAAGATAAACAAAAAACAAGAATCTATCTTGAATGAAGTAAAAACATTTTGGAACATTATTTAAAGTTGTTATTGTACCCGACATTAACGGCGAATGTAGAAGAGTGACGACGAGCGTTGGAGATAATAAAATAAAAAAAAAGTGGAATTTAGGG